CTGCCCTGGGGTCAGGGCCCGCCCGGCGTGCGGGACTCTGAGCGAACCCTGGTCCCTGAGCTTGCCAAAGCAGGCGCTTAGTCTGCTGAGTTATCTATCTGGCTCAGAAGGAGCGCTTTAAAGCAGACAGTCCTGCCAGTGAGACAACAATCTTTCTGAAAATTCCCCAAATCTTCACTAATCATATTGGTGAAACTAGTTTTTGGAGATTTCTTTCATGAAACTCTAGATACTATGAAACTAACATGAAGTAATATCTAAAAAGTTATGTAACAGCTGTCAAAACAAAAATAGAATTATGAAACATTAAATAGAATAAAAACATGATATAATCCAAAAAATGAGAATGACATTTATCAATAATAGGCATAAGTAACATTATGACTGATCAGCACGTGCCTGAACACGTGTTAAATCTTTCATAAGCATTATGTCCTCTTATTTTAAGATGAAATAAGAAAATGATGCTCTCATTAGCTCTAATTTTATTGGTAGAAGATAGTAATTTTCCATATTAAATAACTTCTCCATGTCGTAGGAAACGTGAAAGTAGAATTTAATTGCTGCTAACTCTGGAAACTGTGTTCTTTTTTATTTAGTACAGGTTCTACATGCTCTCACTATGTAGACTGGACTCGTAATGATCCTCCTGTTTTCAGCCTCCCAACACTGGGATTACAGGCGCTTGCCACCACGCCCAGTCTCAATGTTTGTCTCAGGGCTGGGGATGGAACCCCTGCTGCTACGCTCTGCCTAAGCAGGCGCTTTAGTGCACACAGCTATCCTGCCAACTATGGTTTTTTTTTTTTTGTTTTGTTTTGTTTTTCCTGTATTTTAGAGAAGGGTCTACATCTCACTACTAGATAGACTCAGTGATTCTCCTGTTTACAGCCTCTCAAGTGCTGGGATTACAGGCGCGCACCACCATGCTCACTCTGTCACCATCTCAGCACACTCCAGGGGCAGAGCCTGCTGGGATCGAACCAGCACCCCTTGATCCGCAAGCCTGCTTGCAGGCACTAACCTGCTGAACTATTTGGCTGGTCTTTTTCTTTTTTGTTTGTTTTGCAGGCGGGGATGGGGGCGGTGCCAAGGATCAAGCTGCAGTCTCTGCCCACTTGCCTAAACTTGCCTAAAGCAGGCACTTTAGACCCGTTAGTTATCTTGCTGGCCCTGGAAACTCTTTTTTTTTTTTTTTTTTGTGGAACCGGGGATTTGAACTCAGATCCTTGCGTTTGCCCGTCAAGCGCTTATCCTACTGAGCCATCTCCCCAGCCCCTGGAAACTGTTCTTAACTAAATGCTATCTTCTCAAGCTCTACAGCTGTTGCCTACGTTTTATAAACATGGGATATCTCAAAATAAAAATAATCAATGAAAGTACTATCATTTTGTCCTGCTATCTATTAAGAACATGTTTACCTTTATTTTATTGTCTTTAGATGTTATGCATCACATAATCCACAAAACAATACACATATTAATTCTCATGTTAAAGTATGTTCTTACTAAACATAATTTTCTGAAAAGTAAGTTTTGCTATTTAAGAACAATAGCTCAATACATTTGCTCTTGCTATTCTTTCTATATCTGCATTAATGTGTTGGCATTTGTAATAATTCAAAAATAACAGATTCAAGCCAAAAGTGAATTAAATAAGACTTTAGAAGTGCTATTAGTTAGAAGGGAAAAATTTAATGTCTGTTACATTATGAAATTTTATTAATTACCTCATATTGTAAAAACATTAAAACTGATTACTTAATGCTATATTTCACACTTTTCAACCATGTATGTGTCATTTTTCAAAAACCAGTGTACTTTGTAAGAATCTACACAGCTATATTCATGTAAATATAGGTCGATCATTTGTCAGAGACATGATACTTAAGACAGAATCCAGCAATAGGCCTTGTTTAAAATTTTGAAAAAGTTATACATAGAGAACAAGAAGAACTATTAAGCTAGCCGCCTTTCTCTCCACATGGAACGTACCAGGTTTCGGGTAGGGTGGAAACTCCCCCTTAAAGTATTCTCTTTCCAAAACATGGACAAACAGGACACCTGCGGACGGGTACACGTTCCAGTCAGAGTGCACCTTTGAGAAAATCGTATACACTGGAAACACAAGGGGAAGATAAGAGACACACACAGATGAGATACTTTTTCTCAATGCAGTGTAGACCATAAAGAAGCGCTTCACTATCTAGGGATTCCAGAGGAAGCACAGCCACACGCAAGAGCGCTGTTAATAACAATTTTAAGAGAGAGTGACTTTAGGACAAAACATGGGAAAACTCTTGTGTTTAGAAATTTTTCAAGGGGCCGAGGACATGGCTCAGAAGAATAAGTGCTTCCTTGGCAAGCGCGAGGGCCTGAGTTCAATCCCCAGTTCCAGCAAAAAAAAAAAAAAAAAGAACCTTTTCAAATACTATGTAAATAAAACGACACACATTTAATAGTTTTAATTTCTACTGAATAAGACACCCATCATATCAATTTGACAATTTCCTTTTAGTCAAAATTAGTATTACCAAAAAAATATAACCTGAGAACCGGCCAACTATACAATTAACACAGTTTGGATATTTTTTTAGTTTTCTTTTTCAAAATATTATTTATTTATTTATTTTAAGTATTTAGTACAGGTCCTACAGGGTTTCACTACAAAGTTCAGACTTCTAGTAATTCTCCTGTTTTCAGGCTTCCAAGTGCTGGCATTACAGGTGCACACCACCACACCCAGTCTCAATCGCTGCCTCAGTGCACCGGAGGTGGGGTCAGCAAGCCTGAGCTATCTGGCTGGCCCTTGAACCCCGATCCCTGTGTCTGCCAAAGCAAGTGTTTTAATTCACTATTTTTCTTAAAATAAGTATACAGAATAATTTTTAAACAGTGAGAATGTAGACTGTACTAACTGTTTTCTAGATAAAGCAAGCAAAATCATGTAATACTGCTGAGATGCAAGGGGCTTCTCTTTTTTTTTGGTGGGGGGAAGGTTTACAGGGTATTCAGGGTCTCACTACTAGATGGGACTCATAGTGCTCCGCCTGTTTACAGCCTCTCAAGAGCTGGGATTACAGGGGTGGGCTACCACACCCAGTCTCAATTGCCATCTCAGTGTGCCCCAGAGGCAGCAGGCTCGGGGATTGAACCCCTGGCCTCTGTGCCTGCTTGCAGGTGCTTCACTCTGCTGAACTATTTGGCCAGCTCAAGGGACTTCCTATGTATACTTTTAAAACTCCTTTGGACATTTGTTTCTGAGCAGATTTTTTATATCTATCCTAGAAATTAATTTATTAGGGTTGGCCAGAGAGATCAGTGGACTGAAGCACCTACTTGGCACAGCCCAGGGACTGGGGCTTGATTTGCAGCATGCTGTGCTGACCTTGCCCCCATGGGGCATGCTGAGACAGGGGTTGAGACTGGGCATGGTGGCACACACCTGTATACCCAGCGCTTGGGGGGCTGAAAACAGGACTGTCACTAGAGTCTGATCTGTGTAGTGAGACCCTTTAGACTCTACTAAATACATAAAAAAGAATTAATTTATTCCATTTTCCCCATCTTGACATTTAGTAATTCGAACAGTCTAATCAATTATGTTAGGCCACCTCCTAAATGTGCATTAACAATTACCTAATACCATTCAGTACAAATAATTTAAGTGCAACAAGACCAATTCAATGACTTATAATTACGAATAAAAATAAGACATGAGTATATTAAAATGGGCAAATTGGGCAGATGCATTTGCATCTATTATTTTTCTTCTGATAGCATCATCTCCACCAACACACTACTGCCATTCCCCTCATCGCCTCAGCAGCCTCTTCCAGGGGTCTCTATCTTTCAGATTGGGTAGGAGTTGCAATTTTTAGACAGAAAAACCCTATCAAGCCCATTCTAACTCTGAGTCACTGATGGATTCATAAATGTGACAGTTAACCTTGGGACTCCAGGCTGCTCACTCCAAGCTTGCAACTTACTAAAACCCTGGAGGGCAAAATCACTGACAATAGTAAATTTTTCAGGATTAAAAATAGAAACTCCAGGGGCCAGGGAGATGGCTCAGTGGAATAAAAGCTTCCCTGGCAAGCGCAAGGGCCTGAGTTCAATCCCTGGCTCTGCCAAACAAAAAAAAAAAAAAAGGAAAGAAAGAAAAAAAGAAACTCCCCAAAATGTTTCTTCATCTGTGAAAACTTGTCCTTGCAGTTCTCTGGATGAGCGCCACAAAAGGCGACCAGAATTAAGATATTTGGCCTGTAGCTTCCCATATCCACAACTTGACTAATAAAATCAATTTCAAAGGCCATGTAACAGAAAAAAAAGTTCCAAGTGAGGCTCAACTAGGGGGTGTAAGGAGACTGTTACTTTTCACTTGTTGCTGGGACAAAATACTCAACACCCAAAATTAAGGAAGCAAAAGTTGATTTAGCTCACAGTTAAGGCGGCTTCCATCTACTCTGGACTCCCAGGCAGAGGGCACATGGGAGGGGGCAAAAGTTCATAGCAGCAAAAAGAAAAAAGGAAGAAGAGCAAAAGGAAGGGCAGCAGCTGTGGCTTCTAGCCAGCCTCTCTCCCCTCCTCCCATTATAAACAGTCTATCTTGGGGCTGGGAGAGTAGAGCTCACAGGGCAGCCATGCCCTCCTCTTGCACAGGATGAGGATGTTTACCAAGTAAGACTCCTGGCTCCCTGCTGAGTCACTTAATTAACTTTCTAAACTTCTCAAGTTCACACAATGTATCAACCAGTACAATCCACCCCTTGTCAACTTGGCAACCAGACATTTCCTTAAACCAATTTCCAGGTACATAAACATGTTTATCAACAATTTACAACTTGAACATTGTATTACATTGGAACCATGGGGTTTTGCCCTGGGCAACCCCCCAAAGACTCGTGCACATTCCTTTTAATCCATCTCTAAGAGTTGCCAAAATCCAAGCAGTTTCATTGCTGAAAAGTCCAAGTCCCAAGTCTCTTCCAAGATCTAAGGCAAAACTCTTAGCTGTGAGCCCCTGTACAAATGAAAAGTTAAATACTTGCAACATTCAATGGCACAAAAAAAATTTATCATTCTAAAAGGTACAAGCAGCAGGATGCAAAGCATTGGGACTAAAGTCCACAATACAGAAGGGCAAACATTAAGTCCTGTAGTTCCATGCCCAACATCGGAACCAACCCGTAACAGGTTGAGAGCTCCAGAAGCCTTACATGGCTCCACTCCTACTGTACTTCTGCTGATAGCTCCTGTGGTTTTTCTCTGAGGCTGGCGTTGCTCTCTTTGCAGCTTTTCTCCGAGAGTCTATGCTCCTGGCTTTTCCAAATTTCTGGGGTTTCCACTGAGTAGGCTTCTCCCTCACAGCTTTACACACTGCCCTCTCAGGGGCACAGTGCTCAGCTTCGCAGGCCTTCTGAAATCTAGCTGGAAGCCTTCTTAACCTCAGAACTCCTACATGCTGAATGTACCTAAAAGCAATGCCATGTGGGTGATGCCAAGGTCTGCTGCTGGTTGTAGTAGTAGCCAGGCTTTCTTCTCTTTTGGCTACAGGGGTCAAATGTGTGGATTGCTGAGTATTCTGACCCTGATGCCAAGGAACAAATTCTCTATGCCGGTGTCATTCTGAAATCTGATTGGCTGCCACCTGAACCTGGTGTGGCCGCTGCTTCCATTCTGGAACATAAGGCTCTGCAGCTTTCTCCTCAGTGCAAAGTCCCTCACCCTGGTGATTCTGAGGCTCCAAATGCAAGGACCTGCCACCTCCTGTGATGCCCTCAGGACATCTTTTCTACCCTCCTGTTCCTCCTGGGCTATGGAGATCTCAGTTCTATCTTTGCAGTCCACAGCCTTCCTGTCACTTCCTTTCTGACCAAACTCACATTTTAAATCATCCTGCTTGGCTCTTTGCTCTTCACTCTCACCCTATATCTGACTAAAATCCCCCAACAATAACCATGCCACTGCCTCAACCTTCAACTGCCTTGAGATTCCCATCGTCAGATGAACTAGTCCACTGTGTTTAATCTCAGTCTCAGGCAAAGTCTCTGGACAGGAGCAAAATACAAACTTTCTGCCAAGCCATAACACAAAAGATCCGGAGTCCAACAACCAATACAGTCCTTCTTCCCAGCAGAAACCTCCCCAGCCTGGTCTTTACAGGCAGGCTTTCTGGCAGCATTCTGGTCTTTTGAGCTCTGACCAGAATCGCCCATACAGAAGAGCTGAAGGCATTCCAGCTCTTCCCTAGTAGGTAACATTGTCAAGCCTTTCTTTCTCTTTTGATAAGCCTTGAACATCATGGTCAGGTAGTCAGAGCAACAAGCCCGCTAGTTACATTTCACTTGTTGCTGAGACAAAATACCCAATGCCAAAAATTAAGGAAGGAAAGATTTATTGAGTTCACAGTTCATGGAGGTTTCAGTCTACACTGGCTCCCAGGCAGAGTGGCACATGGGAGGGGGCAAAAGTTCATAGCAGCAGCAGCAGCAGCAGCTGTGGCTTCTACTCAGCCTCTCTCCCCTCCTCCTATCATAAACAAGTTATCCTGGAGGGTGCAGACTCAATGTGCACACCCTCCTTTTGCACAGGATGAGGATGTTTACAAAGTAAGACTCCTGGCTCCCTGCCTTCTCAACTCAAGTTGACACATTGTATCAACCAGTACAGAGCCCCTTTCCTGACTTGTTTTCTACTAATACTCATCAGAAGTTTCCCACAGCATTGATCATGCCCAGCTTCTACTGATTTTATTTCAAATGACACCAAACGAATGGTTGACAAAATCGTGATGACCAGAATTCAATGTTTTTTAATACCAGCACCACAGTATGTCCCAGATGCTCAGTGCAGTGGGGACGGTGATAAGAGAACAGGTCCCTGCTTTCCAGGAGTTCACCGTCTTAATTTAGGGGAATAACATTTGCCTAACTGGGTATATCCTGGGCTTAGAAATTGCTCCAGCAATATTTGGAAGAATGGGAGAAGCAGACTGGAGGGATAGCTCAGCAGTCTATGCGCCTGCCTGGCAAGCACAAGAACCTGAGATCCATCCCTGGCACCATATGCCATGCCAGCTGTGGAACTCCGAGAGCACTGTGCTGGCCCCAAGACAC